GTTGGCCAATTTTTTTTTTTTTTTTTTTTTTTTTGATAATTGCGTAATTTCAGAAATGAAATATTCGGATTTTCATAACTGATACTGCAAGCAGGGTAAATTATAAAACCTAAAACTGAAGGCGAATTAAAGGTTTTTGTTAACTATGCACGAAAACAAGCAGCGGAATTTGAAAAAATAAATAGCAACGCGCACCAGACTAGCCGATGCGATCATGCGTTTTGTGCAACTCTGCCCACCGAACGATTACCTATTAATGATTTTCACTGCTCTGTACTTTAGTCTGTGCTAAAATAGATGAAACGTTGAAAAATAGTTAAAAATTTTACGCAACGGCGCATGAAAGCTGAATTTGAAACCTGCAAAGGTGAATACCCTTCCGAGATCCCTGAGATAATAGTTTGCCCGCAAAAACTTTCACTGGCCCGTAAGTGATACCCAAGAGCGCGGGAACGCTGAATTTGAATTTGCAAGATTGTTCGTGGGCAGGGAGTCATTTCCTTAAAATTTCAGCTTCTTAGACTCTGTAGTTTCCGAGATAATAATTTACCCACAAAAGTTTTCACGGGACCGTGCATGTTACTCGCGGGCAAGGGGAAGCTGAATTTAAATTTTCCGGATAGCATACCGGCGGGGGGCATGCCCACAAAATCTCAGCCTTCTAGCTTCCGTGGTTCCCGTGATAATAATTTTACCCGCCCAAACTTTCACGCGGCCGTATGTGTTACCCGCAGGTACGGGGAAACGGAAATTAAATTTGTGGGGTCGCACGTGGGTGAGGAACATTCCCTTAAATTTTCAACTTCCTAACTTTTGTGGTTCCCGAGTTGAAAGTTGCGGTCAAGTTGCTGCGGACACACACAGACAACCCCATGACACTATGCGTTCTGTACTGCTATCACACAGCAAAAAACGCATAAAAAACGGACTACTGCCTCCCGAATCCTTAGCTCTTGTATCAGGCTGCCAACGAATTTCCTACAAACAGATGATAATTTGTGGGGCTTTTTTAATTTTCGCAGTTCATACGAGGACGCGAAGCACTGTCTAGTCATCCCCCCTCTTTCTGCGCCTTCCTTCTCGCTCGCCTCCGCTCTTCGCATACCTGCTTAGGCGCTCGTCTTCCCTCTAACACAGAAACAGATCCGACTTAGTTCACGAAAAGCATCAATCGGTCAACTATTCCCCCTCCTTCCTCCCCCCACCCCTCCTCTCGCAACCCCCTCATTCGTTCAGACAGTAAATTACAAGTGGTGGCCGCCAGGGGGATTAAAAGAGTCACAGCTTGCTTCTTAGTAACCTTTGAAAGTAGAGCTATCGATAGCACTGGAGACTGCAGCAGCATACGCAAACATTTGGGCTATTTACGAGTGTCTCCGCTTCTTCCGAGAAACCTGTGCATGCCGAAAACTAACAGAACAAATTGCAGGAATTTTTTCACATTTATTTAGTGCGTCAAAACTCGCTTACCGGATCGTTCTTTGTTCTACGTAACGACTCGCAGTCCATGCAGCTGTACACTTCTTGACCCTCAGTTGCTTTATTCCACCGATAAACTCGATAGCCATGGCCTTCAGCAATTGCAATATTCATATTTCCCTCCTCGTCAACTAATCTTGTGAATGGTTCGCTTCCTTCTTCAGCATTCTTCTGCACTGACGGTTCTACAGCAACTCTGAAAATAGTTTTTTTTTTTTTATTCTTTCCATCTACCCATCGCTGCCTCAGAGGTTTATGGGCACCATTCGTGGCCTGCTTTTTAATTTGTTTGGTGAATAGACTGGGTAGTATTTAAACCCATTAACAGATGGCCATTTTAAACAGCAAAATATTTAATAAGCTAGTACTGCCGCAGTAAATTTAAAAAGTAATATAGGTTGCAAGATAAACCGACTTATGAAAAGAGCTCAATTTTTTTACTAAACATAACTATTTCATTGGTGAAAAAAAAATTTCTGGCAATGCGCAAGCTGATTTTCAGTTCCTACTTCAGCTATTACAGCCACACACTTTTTTCGTGTCGTGCAGTTATCCTTCTATTCAATTATCCAACTACTAGTGATTCTGTAAAAAATCAGACAGATCTTCCAAGCAAAATTTTGTGGGCAGTCTCAAAATTCTTATAACTTATCATCAGAAAAGAGCACTTCTCCATAAATCAAATGTCAAGTACATATTTAGTAACAGCGGAGACGCTTTGAAGTGGCTTTAAAGTGGCATATGCTTCAAAGGTACCATATGTTAAAGGCAACAACCCACCGGCAAGGCTGTAGGTGACTCTTTCGACACAAATCATGAAATCACGGCCCCTTCCTTCCTGCTAGTCTTCTGCTAGTCTCTTTTCCGTCCCAGTCTCTTCACTGGCAAACCAGCCATTAATCTCTTATCAATTTTCTTTTCCTCCCTTTCTATCATCCTCATCTTTTCCAGTCTTTTCTATTTTAATTTCAATTCAACTGCAGTTCCAGTTACAGCTTCTGCTCTTTGCTACTGTAATGGCCAAACAGCGAGAAATGGTGCTTCAGGCTACAGCATCTCAAACAACTATTCCCCCAAAATGAATCCGAACAACGATATTCTTACTGCACAAAACATACCCAAAATCCGTAGTGTTTGACATATTCCCGCTGCTGTTGCCATCCACCTGCAACGAAGAAAAAAAACTGACATTCATCTATAACTGAACAATACGAAGCGAACCAACAAACGTAGTAGTTACATTTTTGTAGCAAGCTTTTGCTAGTTAAAATATGTGAATTTTTTCAACACGACAGATAATAATTCCACCCCCATCTCCTCAACTAGTTTTACTTCGCCAAGAAGCGTTTTTGTCCTGATCGAATGAATCACAATCTTAATTTCACAATGCGCCTGGAGCTGTTCCAGTTTATTTTAAACTTGACCCCAAATTTTTGGTCGCTTCCACCAATCCATTTTCCCCTTTCGCCCAATTAACATAACCCTATCCAGTAAAGTTACCTAAATGCTTTTTCTTCACTCCTTATCAATTTTCACAAAGTTTCAAAGGTCGCAAATATATGCCTGTCACATTTGACTGCCTCCATATAAAACCTATTTTTATAGATTCTTCCAAACATGTCGTATTTATATTCAATTTGC